CTTTTGGAAAGCTTCAAAACTAAAGAGCTTAGGAAAAGTAAATAAGGGATAGAGGGTGAGTAAAGCAAATCAAAAGGGAAATAGAAAACTACAACAATAAAACATATCCCACTACAACTACCCCTCCCAAAAAGAAAAAGACATTATTCTGGGGGCCTTTATAAATCTGTGCAGGAAAAAACAGTCATTATTCTAGGGGCGTTTATAAATCCAGGGTCCACATTAGGGTGCGGAGATCCATGAATATATGCCGTACCAGCACCACCCAAGGGGTGGTTAATGGACAGGCCATAAATAGACACCCCTTAGGGTGTCCTGGTACAATAGCATAGTGTAATTGTGTCATTTAGTGGGCTTGGGGGAAGGTGTCTCCGTGGGTTCTGCTTGTTGTGCTCTTACCCAGACGCTCCAAACAGTCCTTGGTCCCTCAAAACCATTGGGATTGGTTCGGGTCCGGACCCCTCCATATGAGGGTACGGCCCCTACTTAAAGGGTCCAGGGTCGCGCCTGGGTAGTTCAATTTTCAGGATGCCAGATTACTTTCTGGAAAAAAGGTCTCCACAGCTGGAAGTCCTTGCAGCTGCCTCCAAACGCCCATAATCCAGGCATTAGACTCTTTCCTATAGAAAGAATGGTTTGAGGAGACCCGATTTCAGGAGTTTCCTTTACTTCAGTCGGTCAACATATAGTCGAACTGGACTTCTAGACTCTTGATTAACAAAACCACCCTCAGACGTGGATTGAACAACCTCTTGAGGCCTGAGGGGATTGAAATATCAACCATCTACATGAAGGCAGCCGTTGAGACCATTCGGTCCTCTTTGTGTCAGCTGAGTCACCTCGACTCTCTGGAAGAAGTACCAACTAGACTATACCTTAGGATTCCGAGCCCACCATTGATTTAATTGCCTGACAACCAGTTGTTTTACTCAGGATTTTACACTAGAAAACCAGGTGAACCATTTGTTTTAGTGGTTTTGGAAGGCTTGAGTATTTTTGAGTCCATTTCGGGGTCCGCGTGGGCCGGACGCGGAAAGACCACCATAAAGCCATGCCAGATTTTAGGTCGTTCCTTGCGTGACTCTCAGCACAGCACCGCTGCGAACATTGGCGCATGCCACGTGTGAGGACCTTCCGAGGAAAACCTCCCTATGAAGAGGACTGACGTGTTTCGTCGCCTGCGGGCACAGTGTTAGACAGACATAGCCCCAGGAAAAGTGGATAACCAGGAGTCACAAAGGGGTGGTATTTCCCTAGCCTTCATTAAGCACCCCGTCTTGTGACTGCCGGAACCTTTGACCTTTTTCCGGAGTGGTGGCACCCCACGTTTCACAAGACTCGAGGCCCAATTTTCAGGGGGGCCAGATGTACTTTCTGGAAAAAGGTCTCCACAGCTGGAGGTCCTTGCAGCTGGTGCACGTGTGAAGTCGCGGAGTCTGTACGTGTTGGGCGCAGGGGTCGAGTTGAAAGGTCGTTGGGCGCGGTGTTGGGCGCTTTCCCTCTTTTCGGATCGGTCAACGTCCAACGACCTTCCGAACCCGACTTCGTTCGTACCTTCGAAACAGTGGCACGTCTGACCCCATCAAACAATCCAGCCCAGTGACGCGACCCTGGACCCTCCGTTCAGGGACCGGGGCCGTACCCTCATATGGATGGCGTCCGGACCTAACCTCACCAATCCCAATGGTTTGGTTCGGCACCGGTCGGACCGTGAGGGGTCGCGTCTGGGAGCCAGGTACGACAGGTCTCCAGCGCCGAACCCCTGCCAGGTCTCCTTTCCATGGAGGGTTGTGCAGGGCCCTAACAGGTTTCAAGAACGGTGACCTGGCAGGGTCGGTGCTGGTACCCCATTGTCCGAGCTACGAACGGGTCGACTCCAGGTCGATGTCGTCGTTCCTTAGCGGTCCGTTGATCGAGTCCGCTCGGGGGGCCGAGTGGAAGTCATGGCGATGCCCAGACGAGGCTCCGCCCCAGTGTTTGGTTGGAAGATGTCCCAGACACGACTAATGGGACTGGCATATTTGCATACGACCCCTAAAACCCCAACTGATCGGCAAATATGCCAGTCCCATGGCGTGTTTGGGTGTTGGAATCGTTCGCAGCGAGCTGTTTGACCCAGAGGCTCCGTGAAAACAGGCGGACCGATCCGTAAAACCCGTAGGAATTCGTTCGGGTCCGGACCCCTCCAGTCCGGATACGGGAAAACGGCCCCGGTTCCTTATCACGGAGGGTCCAGACTTCGCGTGCTGGGGACTAAGGATTTTAAACGTCAATCAGAACCAGATCAACCAATTGAAACGTTGAACGGACGACGGGAAATCCGTTTTGATCGGATAGGACTTGCAGATCTCTCTCCATGCCAGCAACTTGCCTAAAAGTGGGCATGTGGTTCGTGGCGGTCGGATCTTTGTGCTTCTGAAACTTCAGGCTCAATTTATCTTGTGGTGCTTAAAGAATGGGCCACCCTCGTGGCAGCTTTGGGTGTAGTCCATGACGACTACGCCGAAGTCGGAACTGATGATACTCGGACTTGAATCGTGGAAACAGACCCCTTAAAGACAGATTATTCTTCGCAAGTGAAGGGCTGAAAGCTTCCCGAAGTTCAGCAATGTTCAGCATAGTTCCCAGCAGAGGTTGAAGAACCCATAGACTATCCTATAGGTACCCCTGTAGGGTCCTATAAGGTCACTTAACCTCTGTAGGTCAGCAAAAGAACCCAATATATCCCAAAAGCACCTCCCAAAAGCAGGATCCGGGACTCTGACCTCCCTTCGTCAAGGGATGACGGAACTCATCAGCCAACGGCATGACGGTGGGACGTGTCAAATCACGACGAGGCACCGTCGCCGTGGCTCCGGTGCCGAAAACGACCACCACACCCGGCCCCATGCGAACAGGTAAACTCGCGAAGAAGGACATCATGCATCACCCCTGCGATTTGGAATTCACAACATTTATCGGAATCCATGGGGGTGGGACCTCACCAATTAGACACGACCCATGGGGTTGTTGCAACAACGTCTGAATCCTAGACATGACCCATGGGGCTGGAATACATGGCCTACCTTTGACATCCTTTGATCCCTTTTCAAATAAAAAACAGCAGGAGGGTCGGTTCATGATCTGCAGCCCAAAGCCACCGCCGGCTGGCCTAGGGAGCGACGTGATAGGCACCCGGAACACATGCTTTGAACAACTCAGACGGCCTCTGGGTCGGTTCGACTCAAGGTAATGCGCACGGAGCGATGTCCACCAGTTTGGGGCTCCATGCCACCGACGGCGACCGCGGCCCCAGCAGCCGCGACCAGCACGCGGTGGCGGCCTTTCGAGGGCCGGACGTGGTGGTCCCCGCCACTGGGAGCAGAAACGGGCGGTGGAGACACTGAAACAAGCATGAAGTCGGGGGGTGACTTCGACTCCGGAAGTATGAGGGATGTCAACAAGATGTGCATGGCACAAAGATCCAGTTTGACGAGCTTTTGCCCGGCTCTTCAGCCAAGGACGTTCCTTTTTTCTCGGGTGTCACCGTTCGTTTGGGCTCCTGAATAGTGGAAACAGGGATCTCCACTCCCAGGACGCCTTTGTTTTCTTTTGTGGCCCGGTGGGTTGGAGGTCGTGTTGGAAAAGAGGCATGTCTACAACTTCCGTACACTTTCGCTGATCTAACACACATTGAAAGCAGACAATCCGTGGTACATGCAGTGACCCCTGAGTAGACACAGCTGACATACCAATTTAAGATCTTCCAACTAGCAAAACAAAAGAACCCTTCCTCTCAAAGCAGGGCATGAACAGGGAGCAACATACTTCGCAGTGTTTCAAGAAGTGTTTCAAGATCCAGGTACCAGTACGCTCACTGCGTCTCCGGAGGGTTTGGGAATTAAGGGCCCTTCCTCCACATGTCACAACCACTCAATGGTGGATGCCTGGTGCCGGACCCTTCGTGGACCGACGTAGGTGATTGGGGGTGTCCAGTGGAAGGTGCTGGGGCTGATCTCTGAAAGGTCTGACTTGGCCCGGGAAGCTGAGGTACCCTGCGAAAGAGCGAGGGTGTGGACGGCTGGCTTTAGGTGTAGCAGATGTCGTTTCGAAGTGGGGGAGTCAAAGATGGTTCAAATCAAGCCCAGACCATCCATGGCATTGGCATACTTACATCATCTTACATTGATTCCAGGTCAACCGCCCCCAGTGTATTACTAGTACTAGGACCTTCATGGACCTTCCGTTTGAGCTGTTGTAACTAGTCGCCTCCAAGGGGGTGATTCGGGGTGTCCAACCACCACCGGGCTTATGGTCCAGGTCCCGGTGGGGCCAACGCACCCCTTCGCCGGAGCCCACCGCGGTGGTCGCACACACACACACACACACACACCGACCATCGGTCGCGGCTTCGCTTTCTCAGGTGGGGAAGCGCTTTGTCCAGAAGATCCTCGGAAGCCATGGAGAAATGGTTGGAGATGGTTGGCCAATGTTGGCCATGTTTTTTCTCTCGAAGCTGAACCGGTCTCAGGAGGAATGGAGTTCGGGAATGTCCTGAATACTATTCACGAGTTGTATTAAAGTGTATCAAACGTGGAGTTGAACTGGACTTCTATAGTTTCTTTGTTCTTGACCAAGTGAGGAGGAGCTATTTCCTTCGCCGATGGAAGGGAGGGGAGGCCAGGAGTGAGGATTGCCTGGAAGAACTGAGGGGGGCCGAACATCACATCCCACGGCCCCTAGAGGGGTCCCCCCCCAAAATCCATCAAACTTCACCCCCCCTCACTCGAGATGGAACTCCTGGTGGTGGTGTGTGTGAGCCCTTTGGCTTCGAACTCCTTCATTCTCCCCCCAAGAAAGGGTTCGAAACTCCCGGAGGTGTCCTGGACAGCGGACAAATCGATGTCCACTGAAGTCCACCGAGCTCGCATGCCTGGGCATTCTCCTCTGGCCCCGGTGTTATGTACTACCTGGCTCTTCCCCCACCCATGCTGCCCATCAAAGCAGCCCAGTTCGGCAGACATGGCTACCCGGGAAGCCGAAATCGAGGGTCTACCCTGATATCAGGTCGAGTTCGGTCGACCTGGTTTGGCCCTTCCGGTAAAAACACGGGTTCTTCGGATCTTCGAGCCTATCAATATGGTAGGTCCCATCAGGTCCCACCAGCACCTTCCCAGCCCGGTGGAGGCTAGGAGGACACCCCCTCGTTACGAGGCTATAGACACCGAAAAAAAAGGAAGGTCCTGGTAAAAAGAGGTCTTCTTGGACCTGCAAAGCCGCCCTGTGAAGGTCTGCCACCGGGTCTGCTTGGGTCTGCTTGATTCTGCGACACTGTCGACATCAGAACCGAGGATACCTGGAATCCATCCGGCCATGGAGATGTTGAATACTCTGAGCGCTTCCATGGATAACGATGCCTTACCCTCCTGGCGGCCTGGTTTTGACCCGTTTCTTTTTTTTTTGCGCCGTTGATGCAATGCTGATGTATATGGCATGGTCTCACATGAAGGGAAAAGGGGCTTAGAAATTGGGCTTCTAGGCTTAACGGAGCTCAAAGCAGTGAAGATGCTGAAAGATGGACCCTTGCACCGTCAGACGATTCCTGCAGGACTCCTGTCGCGTTGTCGCCATCCCATCCCCTCGTCCATCCTCGTCCCCTCAGAGGACGACCAGAGTCCAGGTGCCGCGTCCCGACAAGTCCGCTCCGTCCGGGCCATTTGAGGCTGACCTTTCAATCTCAGAGCTTTACTGGAGTGCCACCCGAGGTCTGCACCGCCGCGACGAACGCCGCGGCGAACGCGGCGCATTCGATTCAGAGACGGCCTTAAGTCACTTTTGGCCGTCAGGGAGCCTGTGTTCTTCATGTTCGTGGGTCAAGAGGGGGTCTGAGGAAAACTGAGCCGAAGTCTTCCGTCTCCCTCGTGTTTCGACTGACTCCCGTGACAGCTCGTCCGGTCGGGGTTGTCTCCTGTTTTCTTCTCGGCCATGCGAAACCGAGACCTGAGAGAGGGTCCAACCCTCAACTCACAGCCTGGCCGAGTTCGGGTGCTGGTATAGACCAATTCGGGCCAATGGTGCTTGGGATATGATGTCTCTCCCCATGTCCAGCGCAAGCCAAGTCACCCTAGGATGTGCATGGCTGCGTCCGGGCATCGTTCGGTTGGGCCGTCATGGAGCCGAAGAGGGTCAAAAACGCCACCCGAACATGGTCGAACGAGATGGGCATGGGCTGCTGAGCTGGCACCTTCCCAACGCAAATCATGCTAGGTTGACATCCCGAACATAGAGGAATCTGTTCGTTCTTACCTATGGAACCCCAAACCTACGAATTGGTCGTATCTGATGGAAAACATTGTGTTTTAGCTCCACTTGACTAAAAACTTAGTGTTTCTGTCGAAAACATCGTGTTTCCAAAAGCACTATAGTTTCGAACCCGTATAAAAACCGTAGAACGCCCGTAGAAAACCATAGAAAACCCGTAGAATCCCATAGGCAGTCGTATCGTTTTGAGGAAGTCAACAAAACAGGGTATAACATTTTGAGGGGTTCTTAGTTCTCTTGGGATCCACCACCATCGTTCCCGTCCGATTCTCGGGACGCCGTGAGAGGTGGGCCACTTTTGGATCTCTCTCCGTGATTCGGAGGGTCGCTTGGTCCTCACCTTCTTGCTGCACGTGGTGCGCGAAACCAGCGCCTTGGATCAGAATCGGTCGGGCCACCCGCCACGCAGAACGAGGAGACCAAGGGCATCAAGGTGCGGAGACCGCGAGCCATAGGGGGGGCCGATGCGATGTGGCGAATCACGCGTTTGAGGTGAGATTTGGTCCGGAGTCTGGGGCTGGGACGTCGATGTCCCAAATCTTCCATGTCTGAACTGGCCTCAACGGAAAAGCCAGACATTTTGCAGACCTTAAGAATCCGGACCCGGAGCAACACATAGGGTTTTGAGGGCCCGGACCCCTATGGAGGGTGCGACCCCTGCCAATATAAATTCATCCATTTGAGCCACGTTCGGCAGAGAGTTTGGCACCCTTGGATCCATTTATAGTCCGAAGTCCACGTGATTCCGCTTCGTGCAAGAATTCCAGATCCCCTGAAAGTCAAGTCGACCATTTTTAACATGGTTGATCTGGTTTTGGAGTGTAAGACCCTTAGTAAAACAGCTCGGTGGTTCGGGATGACCCGGCTATTAAAACAATGGTGGGCCACGACTTCCAGGGAGATACTTCTCAAATCCGCCCAAAATCTGAGAGGATTCCACGCCTACGGCAGCCTGCATGGCCGGCAACCCACCGCCGTCCATCGGAGATACATGGCAACTCATCCCCGAGGCCCGACCGCGGCGAGCCAAGCGCGCCCAAGCATAGGTGTAGGCCCGCCGCAGGCGTGAGGGGGGCCACTTGGGCGTTTGGGCATGTAAGGGGTTTGGGCAAGATGTTTTGACGAACTTCAACTTGTATAGAGATCCAAAACAATGCAGCAGATCGTATTGGTATGGCGCGATGAAGTTGCCAACTTCAAAGAATCTCCACACATGACTCATGACCCTCGGACCTCGCGAAGAGGCCTTCAAGGACCCTCGGACCTGGTCCCGACCGCACAGCTGCAGAGGCTCCCCTGATCGCACAGCTCATCCCGGACCAGTATGCCCAGGCCGTGCAGGGGGGGGGGGGCGATTCCCCCATCTTCCTGCCGGTGCAGGACCGCTCGCGGACCGCTCTCCGTGCCGAAGATGAGACATTCACCAGGACCCCCCCCCCCCCCCAAGGTTGAAAAAACCGGGCCGTAAAGCAGCTTTTGGGGGGCGGTCCTTCTTCACCTCACCCGGCCTTTTTGTGGGATGAACCTCACGCAGATCGATGAACCGGCAGACGGTGGTTTCAACCGGCGGTGGTGGTAGACGCCGGACCCGGACGCCTGGTCTCCGGCAGGTCTCGAGTTTATGGAGGTGGTCTAGTCTAGTGGAGACGACCCAGCAGGTCTTCAGGTGGTAACCCTGATGCGTCCGGGCCTGGTGGCTTGGACTTCGATGCGAAGTAAATCACACATGCCATGGAGCAAACTGAACACTTCCTGGCAGGAGTTAGACATATACCTAGGAGATCTTACGGGCAGCAATTCCTGCCTTTTCACATA